TAAAAATATGTTGTTGATGGACGAAGACCTTCTAATAATATTGTATGCATAAATCCTGGATCAATAAATGTTTGTGGGCCCCATTCATTAGCTTTTCCTTCACACATATCTGATGCTGTATAAGTCGTTGTTGTTCCATTTTGATGAAAATTTAGAGATGATGAAGTTAATCCATATTGACATTGAGGAGCATATTGTGACGAATTCGTTAAATATGAAACAAACATTTGATCAATTCGATCACCATACGCTAAATGAATATGTGTTGGTTCATTATAATTGATTGGTTGAATAATAGGAGATTTAGCTATAAGGGAATAATTGCCCAAACAAGTCTGATCACGTGAATAATAACGAAATTCTAATGGACGACGAAGATTAACCATTTGCCATGACATACTACTTTGTTGATCTTTAACAAATTCATAGTCGAAATAGCCGCAGACTAGCATAATAAGAATTTATCCATTTTATTATATAAGTAAAACATAAAAAAAGCGACAAGTTTACCTGTATTAAGAGGAATCTCAACAAAGTAAACTCCAATGAAATCATCTTTACATGAAGTTGATAGTGGTGTCCATGTGACTATGATCTGCTCGTTACTGGAATAGGTCGTAGCGGATATATTTAAACTCGATATAGTCATAATCGTAGAAGAAGATAATATGCCATCAGATCGATTACATGCATATGGACTTGGTTCACTATTTATGGTATGACGTTTGCCAAAAGGACCATTTGCATTTAAATGTTGATCTGCTATGACGAAAACAATAAAAAACGAAGAGAACAGAACAACGATCCACCTCATTTCATCAAAACTAAAACTTGTTCTGTAGTTTGTGATACTTTACCTCATTTTAAATTTCATATCTAGAACGATAAGAAAAATAAACTGATAACGTATCGTTGTTTATCCAACGAACTATGGTTACACAAAGAATTTTTAAGGTCCTCTCAATGATATCAAGTGTTTTTTGTTATTTTATGAATAGCTATACAAAATTGAAGAAAAACTGGATTGACTTCATTCTCCACAGCACGATCCTAGATAGATAAGAAGAAACGTTTGAAATGAATATGATAAAAAACAGGAAGCACTGTTTCTGGTCTCTTCCGAGATCATTTGTTTACACACTGCATTTGATACACCCGGATGTTAATTGTCCTTCTGCATGCACATAGTATATCAAAAAGCATGGTCACAATACAAGCAATACTATTAGTTTACTACCACTTTCATTCTTTCCATCGTTGTAAATGAGTACTTTTATTGGTTTTTTTTCTTACTTTACAATGTGACACATTCGAAAGTGATCAGATGAACAAGTTTGGTGATAGAAAAATCATAAAAATACTCCGGACGCCAGAAAAGAATAATCAAAAAAAGAAGTAACATGCGTTTCTCTGCACGTATAGTATTCGTTCATTCACCACATCGATTCGACGACTTTCCTTTTTCTTCGAATGTGTCATCTATTTATGACTTGGCCTACGACAGGTCAAGTTCAACAGTTCTCATGAACTGTGAATTGTAACTGAATATCAGTTCAGTTCAAAGAACTGTAAAAAGAACTTCAACTATGAAACCTTATTTGGCTATCTGGTTTTATTGAGAAAAATATTTCTGATTGATAATCAGGTAAATGATTGCTATAAAAAGCATACTGTTGTGCTATTTGACCAAGCTCCTTCAAACCATCTAGTAGTGCTTTTTATTATAGATCTACATCTATAGTTTGCTTGTCTTCTGAAATCATCGATCTCATGAAGGAAGTTAACGCAATACATGAGGTTTTCCTACGTTTACCTAGTATTATAACTATTTTAGATGGCTTTGAACACAAAAGAGATGAGAAAACCAGTGAAATTGGATATCAAAAGACATTGCGTATATTTTTTTTTCCTGAACATCATGTGTCGAAGCCAGAGAATAAAAATTAGCAAGAAAATTATCATGGTTGAATGACTATATCACTGTCTCTGATATATCAATGTAAAAACCAACAAAAAAAATCTGATTTTAATTGCTATGACTAAAAAATGCGTTTTTCTCCAATTTTAACTTAGAAACTTCAATTTTTTT